GGTGGGAAATGTCCCAGGATCTCAGTTTTTAGGGAAAACGGCTTAAAACCCAGTCTGGCGCTTCCTCTGATTCCCGTGTGGGAGTGAAGCCGTTTAAGCACCGTTCCAAGAGCTGGGTTCCTTGTGGACTTCGTTGCATTGTCAAGCTCATTTTTGCACTCTTGAAAAACGGCATTGCATGTGGGAAGAAAAGAAAAACCAGGGGCTTTTGTGTGACCACAGGAGCCCAGGAGCTAAGCGCAAAACCTCCTGGTGAGAGATGGACGGCAAAGTTAGGGCCTCAAGTTACATCAGGGGAGGTTTACATTGCATATTAGGAAAAATTTCTTTACTGAAAGAGTGGTCAGACATTGGAATATGCTGCCCAGGTAAGTGATGGAGTCCCCATCCCTGGAGGTGTTCAGAAAATGTGTAGATATGGCACTTTAGAACATGGTTTAACAGGCTTGGTGGTGTTGGGTTGAACGTTGGACTTGATAATCTTAAGAGCGGTGCCTTTTGCAAAGGAGTCCCAACACCACCCCAGCTGCGAGAGCCGGCCCCTGCGCATGCGTGGTAATGCCAGTTCCCCGCCTCAAAGCGCCACAAAACCTTTATGAGGTGTTGAAAACAGACGAGGGAATAATCTGTTACTTAGCTTTTTCCCCAAACTAGTTGTGGTAACTAGAAGTACAGGCACATCTTAACTCATACTGGTATGACTTCAAGAGCTCGAGGACCAAGAACGGTGATAAACATGCCAGCTTGCAACCGAACATTATTGGAAGATGTGTGTTCAACGGTGGACAAATGCAAGTAGGGTCAAACTAGTTCTGCAATGAAGCGTGGAGGGAAGGTAACATTTGGCAAGCACGGACCCATGACAAGAGCCTGCGCTACATTCAGCACAGCTCTGCGTGTATCAGCCATGAAAGCCTTCCCAGAGCCAAAACGCCTCTTGGTATCGCAAGGACAGGTAGTGCGTTGTGGGTGGTTTAGTCTTTTTTTTTAAATAGCGCATAGAGATGGCCGGTTAATAATTATGCATCTGAAATACTTTCAGTAATAATTTTGTTTCCAATTTTGAGTATTTTGGAAGGGCGGAAAATTCCAAAGAAAAATGTGAGTTCTGTGTTCATTCTGTGCTTGAATTCCCTAGGGTTTTTTACAGCACATTATCACATCACTAGTTGATGTGTTCACACAGGCACCTCCTGTTTCCTCCCCCAATTCTTTGGCTACATCGGTAGCCTGATTGCACAATGAACCCCTGAATCTGGTTTTGCCAGTCTTACCCAACTATGCTACCGGCCCATGCAGTCTAGTCTTTCCTTCAAAACTCCAATCAGCTTCCATGTTCCAGCAGGAGTTGCATACGTCTTAGCTTTTCACTCTTTAGGAGCTTTTTTCCCCCTTTAACTGGCATCTCCATCCTACTTTCTCTGCACACACAATTTCAGCCTTAATAGGACACGTAGCAGAGCTCAGATCCCTTCATTTAGACTCTGCAGATCTGTGCCAACGTGCACAGCAACGAGTTCTGCAGAACCCCCTGCCTGCCAACGGACAAGCCCCTGATCTTGTCCCGTACACGGTGATTGGCAGGACAACTCAATCACCTGTAAAGGGAAGGAAAAGTAAACAGAACTGACCCCAGATTTCGCTTTCTATAGGAGAGCAGACTGAGGGGCACAGACAGCTTTGAAGAATGAGGGCTTTCAGCACGTAATGCAGACAAGGGGAGGGGAGCGCCACGCAGAGCAGTGGAGGAACTTCCGATTCCTTTGAACATGAAAGTCAAAGCAGATGTAGGGACTGTTTGGCTTTCAGTTCAGCCCTCTGGGGCAGCCTGCAATGCTGGGATTATTCCAGTTTCTGCCTACGCAGTTCTGGCAAGAATAGGTGATCAAGCAGAAGTTAATTAACAGCTGCCCCTGCTCCTCATCACTACCTCACATTGTGCAACTGCTTCTTCCTCCTTCGCTCTTTGTACTCTATCCAATGACTTGAGCCCTCTCAGCTCTTCTTACTATTTCTTGTCCCAAATCTTTCTTTTTATTCTTCCTCTCCTTTTTCCCCTCTCCAAAGGAATATTCACACTTACTTTTATTTCTGAAAATAGCATGCACATGTTCTTTGTTATCTTCAGTAGTCAGCTTACATAGTCGCCCTCATTCCTCAACAGAAAAAAAACACATCAATAAAATGAAAAGAACTGTGAAGTACCTAAAATGTATTCACTGTTTCCCTAAACTTCTGTGCACTACAAACATAGGGCTTACCAACACATCCTCCAAGTTTAGTAATTAGAAGTAAATAAAACATACAGCATAGAAACTACCTAGAATTACCAGTTTATCTTTTGGTCATTATTCTTTGGTCATTATTCTTCTTCTATTAAAACATCTACTAAAATATAAGTTCCCCTTGGTAGATGTTAACCTCCTTTAGTGGAGTCAGACTATTATTTCAAATAAGGGGAAAAGAAGGGAGAATTCATGCTCCAAATGAAAGAAGCCTTTAGAGAGAATGTCTGATCCCCTTATTTCTGCAAGGCCTTTGCCAATCTCAGCAGATAATCAAGGATGTTGAAATGTACAGTTTCCTTTTTGGTTGAAGAAATGAGGTATTAACTGGCACACTGCTGGGAGCTGGGCACTGTATGACATTGCTATATCCATTAAATAGTTTGTAAGTGTTGTCAGTTTAGCACCTTTAAGTACTACCCTCATACACATACAAAAAAATTATCTTAAAAGGTCATTTTTACAGTGAAATTATGAAAAGCTGAAATATTACATCGAGTATGAAAATGTCATGGCAGCTCCATCACTAACATAATACCTAAAAAAATGCCTAGAAATATTTCAGTGTATCAGGTCATGTCAAACACGTCAGGTCTTTCAATTATCTCAGCATTCCAGTGGTTCTCTTCAGGTCGAGCCTTCAGTGCACAGCCTGTTGCAAGAGTAGGTGTCTGAATCTCCATTTCAATGCTGCTCTTCAACTGCTGGAGAAAGAGAGAAAATAATATCTTCTGACTGTGCTTTTGCCCTAAGAAAAAAAGGAATCTTTGTTGTGGTTCTGTAAAGACCATTTTAGGAGGAGTTATACAATAGCAAGTCAGCAGAGAATACAGTCCCATTCACATAAATTACCTTAAAAATATCATTCTTAGCTTAATGAAAGTGTCAAGTTTTCAAAGAAAGAAATACAATAATACATTTCCTCACCTAGGGAATAAACTCAAGAGTAAATACGTTTTTAACTCATCCATCAACTGTGAATGGAGAAATAATAGTATCAAATCCTGTGTCTATTTTTTTTTCCTGTCAGTGAGCAGACAGTTAAAGCCGTGACCTACCTGTCTGAATCCAAAGAGCAAACTCTTTTTTTGTCCATCAAAACAACACCATCTATAGTAGGGAGACTGACCTCTTCAAAAATCTTTCCAAAGAGAATTGTTCCGGCTTTCACTCTCTAACTGTGCTTTAACAGGAAGCACCTCTCTCAGCGATCTCTGCTCTTTTGTCTAGTATTATATGGTAACATATAAAGAGAAAAAGACTGAATCAGATGTCCTTCCTGGTTTAAATTGCAAAGGGAGGAAATTCAGTATCCATATCTGAAATCTCTGAAAAATAAGACTTTGAAATAATAGACTGCAGACTGCTACAAGGTCTACTGCAGTCAAATGCTGCCAGAGAATGTTCCCATCAGATATTAAGATATTTCTTGTGCTCCCTAGGCCACACTCAGTTTTTTTGATTATGTGGTACACGTGGTGTAAAAGAGTCCAGGTAAAGTAAAAAATAACAGCATATGTGTTCAATACAATAGCTTTCTGTACTAAAGAAATATATATATACAAAGATTGAAAAGGTTAAGAAATATTAGAGTTAGGGCTACCTATATCTTTAGTCATGTGTGAATTGTTATGCTAAGTAATGTGTGTCTTTTTTTAGGATTAGGCAGAGATGGGTCCTTCTCCCTCTTTTACTTCCTGATACAGGATGAAGGTGTTAAACCCTGGGATCTTCCTGCCTTTACCCTAGCTCTGTATGCTCTATATGCCTACCTCCTTTTCAGCCACTGTGAGACCACCCCCCATCTCTCATGCCCATACAAAGGACATCAGCCTCAATTCAGACCTCACTGCAGATCCCGCCACAGCAGTTAAGTCTGAAAGCTTCAATACAAAACATATCTCACATGCAGCTTTCCTGTCTCTCCGTTCAGCTAAAATTCTTGTCTAGGCTCATCTCCCTGCACATTTACATCAATGTTCCTTTCTCTAGTTTTCAAAACTGCAGTTCTGATGTTGCCATATCTATTGTAATGATTCTTCTTAGCTTCTACCACATTCCTTTTCCATTTTCATCCCTCCAGTGAATTCCCCTCTGCTGCATCAGTCATAAATTTCTTGGGTTTGATTTCAGTACATTCACAGTTTACTCTTTCTTTTATCTGCCATTTCTTTACGGCAGATGACATTTGCCATGCAAACGTGTTTAACACAATGTATTGGCTTCCTGTTCTCTGTTAAATTTTCAGACAAGTTTGGGGATTTTTTCCAGGCATCCTTCATACTTCAAGTGTATTCCATGTAGATACCTGCAAACTCAGTTCATTTTTCTTCTCAAAATACGCTCCTACCACCATTCTCCCGAAAAATGTTGTAAGGTCCAATGGATACTGTTTCTCACGTTGTCTCAGAGTTTACTTGAGTATTACTCTGCTATAGCTGTCTGTTTCTGTTTCTTGTTCTATGCTTGTATTTCCAGTCCATTTGGGGCAGATTTAATATTTCCATTTTTTCATTGTTTTTCTGTCTGTGATTTATTTCAGGTGTAGCAGAATTTTGAGTCATGATTAAACCTCCTAGACATAAAAGCTGCAGAAGGAATATTAGTAATTGTTATCATGTGACTTTCAGATACTGAGCTCAAGTAAGCTGTTCTTTTTGTTTGTGAAGTACATATGTTTAATAATAATAACGAATTATGAAATTATTAGACTGTAGAGGTGCGTACTGGCAATTATTTGCTGCTTTGGCAATTTCTTCATCCTGATGTGGTTTGTCCATTTAGTGGCCTGTAATGAGTATTTTTTCAAGAATCTTTCTTCTAAGAACTTGTCCATTCTCTCTTGTAACCCATGTAGATTTGTTTATTATCATAACATTATCTGGCACAAAATTCCACAGATCTACCACCTCATGTATGAAAACAACCTTTCTTTGTTTGTTCTGAACCTGTCTGCTGTCATCTTCTGCTATATCTCCTAAGTCATCTCTTTCCCAGGCTGAAGAATCCCAGCCAATCCAGTCACTGCTGATACTGTGACTGATACAGACTTCCATTTCTCCAATTACCCTTGTTTTCCTTCCATGAATCTTTTCCAATCTTTATAAGTAGCCTTTCTGTAACGAGAGGACAGCACTGAAATACAGGCAAATACTGCATTTATTCAGTTGAATAATAATGTTTTCTGTTTTGTTCTCTATTATTTCCCTAGTAATTTTTAAGACTTTTTTTTTTCTTGGGACATGGAGTGAGCACTGACTGCACTGAACTGACACTTCCATAAAACTAGTGTAATCCCAAGGTCTTTTTCCTAAGTGGAAACAGTCAACTCAGAGTCCATCATTTGATCTGTGAAGCTAGAATTGCTTTTCCTCAGCAGCATTGATTTCTTTACATTTATCTACACTGCATTTCACTTGCTTTGCATTTATGTAGATTGAATTTCATCTGCTGTTTTATCTACTGTCCAGTCAAAGAAGAGTTTACACCATTAGTAGCCGAACTGTCTCATACCTGAGTTCTTTCAGAGTTTTTGTGATAGTGGTGGTTTCCTAGTATTTTATCAGAGCATTTCATATTTTTTTCTTAATATTTTATCTGTAGCTGCTTCCACAATAACTTCAAATTCAGACAGATTGTCTGCTGAGCCCTTTTCCTCCAGAGAATAGCA